CCGCGCCCCGCTCCCCCTCTCCCTGTCCTTTTTTTTTTTTTTTAACCCAATTCTGCTTTCATTGTTGGGGCTTGTGTGAGAATTTGTCGGGCTCCGGCGACATTTTGAGTTAATGAGCCGGCATTATCCGGGCCCAATGGGAAAGAAAATGCGGATAATAATAAATCAGGGCATCTGCTGGGCGCACAAAGGGCGGCGGGGAGCAGGTGTGCATGCTAATGAGGGCACGGCAAAAAACCCCTGCCCCCGCCGTCACCGTCACCGCCGCGCGCGGGCACCGAGAGCCACCGGCGCCTGCAAACGCCCCGTGTGCAGTCATCTGTTAACCCCGGCCTCCTCCTCCTCCTCCTCGCGCACACACACACGCTTTTTTTCTTAAAACAATCCCTGGCGCGGAGGGAGGGAGGGAGGCGGAAAGGAAAAAGCGCGGGAAGCCGCCGGCGCGGCCGCCCTGCCCCGCTCCGACCATGGGCTCGTTAGCAGGTTAACTCACCTGGGAGCCGGGATGCGGCTTCGCCTGGGGATGCCCCAGCTTTGGCTTTGAGAAACCCCCCAACTTGCACGGGAATGCGCTGATTATTCTTTTTTTTTAACGGATTTCTATTCATTTGCTTTAAAAGCTGGTAAACGCAACAAATTCAGGGCGCCGCTGAGGGCCCGGCAGCTGCTTCAGCACGGGGCTGGCACGACCCGGCTACGCTCCTTCTGCACCTATTTCCACCCGTGAACTGGAATGCAGCACCAAAGCCACTTTTGGGGAGGAAAACCAACCAAAAAGCCAAGCAGAAACAGCCACCCTTACACCCAGGGCTGCCCATTACGAGCAGTGTGGAGGTGGGTCCTGCACAGAGCCCGAGCAAATCCATTAGGGGAAGAAGAGAACCACACTCCCCAAAAATTGTAATAATAATTGCAATAATAATTGCAATTTCTTCGCTTTTTTTTGAAGCAGAAGCCCTTATTGCCCTGCTGCTGGCTCTCCCACATGGGGACCAACTGCTTAACAAGAGTGCAAACCGCACCAGCAACTTCTCGCTTGCAAGTGCGCTCCGAAGACGCATCCGTGTGCAGGACCCCCCCTTGCAGCCCCAAAACTGCACCCCCAAATCGCGCTCTTCACCCCGCGCCAGCACCGGCAGGGCTGGCAGGGGGCCGGGAAGGGCGCTCCTGAGAGCCGAAGCCAAAGGAGGAATTCCAACGGTGCCAAGCGGCCGCTCCATCCCCAGGCAGAGCTCCCGCAGGGAGCGGAGCCGCCCGAGCTGCATTTAAAAGCCCAACGACCGCAACCGCTTCGGAGACTCCCAGCTGAAGAGGAAAACCTGGAGCCAGGGCCTGCATGCAAAGCAGGAGATCAAAAACCAGGTGGAGACCAAGGCCAGCCTGGGAGGGGATTTATTCCTCGGCTCCGCCGGATCAGAAAGCCCCGAGTCAGCAACGCCGGGACGTAGGGAACGCTGCAAACCTCAGGACAGGTCTGCCCGCTCTGCCGGAGCTGCCGTGGGCACCGGAGCGATACCGGTGCACGAACACCCGGCCGGGGGGTGTTGCTCACAGGCGAGCGGGCTCAGAGCGCTCGTCCCTGTCCCCTTGGTGCAGGGTCCCCCTGCATGGCCCGTGGCTCCGATGCAGGAGCGAGGTTTTTCCCTTGGCATTTCGCAAGCGAGGGCTATGCAGACTAAACACAGGGCAGCTTATGGGAATTAACATAAAAGACATTAAAGCTGCGCTTTAATTATGGATATATATTATTTGTGTGCGCATACATACATATATATAGGCAGGGCAGGTGCTTTAGGATGAAGACATGCCAGAAAGGTCACCCTGGCTCTGAGAAACCAGCAACCACGCAGCGAAGGGCACTGAGCTCCTGGCATCACCCCGGTCCAAAGGATCCTTCCCGAAATCCCTGCCCGCGCCGCACACCAGGGTCCGGCTCCCGAAAGCAGCTAAAAACTCTCTGTCCTGAGCAGCCGCTCGCTCATTCCCCCGGCGGGGCTGGACCCGTCCCCGGGGGTCGCGGGGTTCCAT